GTGTAGACCAGGCTGGCCTGGACCTCTTCTGTGTAGACCAGGCTGGCCTGGAACTCTTCTGTGTAAACCAGGCTGGCCTCAACCTCACAGAGATTCACCTGTCTCTGCCTCCTGAGTGTTGGGATTAAAGGTATGTGCTACCATACCTGGCCTCTTTAAATTTTCTTAATAAATTAGTTTTCTATTATTATGAGTTTATTCCTGGCATATGTTTGTGTGTGTGCATGTGTGTAGGTCGGAGCACAACTTGGAGGAGTCGGTTCTCTTTTTCCATGTCTATATGGACTTGAAGGATAGAACTCAGGTTGCTCCCATGGTGTAGTTAGGGCCTCTACCCACTGAGCCATCTCATGAGGTCCGCCCCCTTTCGGAATGGGAGTGATCTGTGTCCTGAGCATGTAGGTATTGTCCCTCAGGTCTCCTAGGCTTTCTTCATTCAGCTTTGTTCCTTGTCTTGTTCTCTTTTTGAGACAGGGTCACATGATGCAGCCCTGATTGGCCTTGGACTCCTGGCAATCCTTCTGCCTCACCTTCTGAGGGCCGGGACTCCAGGTGTTCTGCTGTTTGGGTTTGGCATCTCTGTTGGTGTCTTTATGTTCACTGAGTGTCTGTCCCCAGCTTTTTGGCTGAGTGCGTATAGTGGACTCACAAAATTTCAGTTTAGTTCGTTTTCATTCTAGCTTTCTCTATTATTATATTTATTTTGTCCTTTAGTTTCCATTTCTGTGTTTAGAGTTCCTCACCGTTCATTCAGTACATCATATTTTCCTCCAATTTTTCTGAGTTTGGTTTTACTAACTGCTTTAAAGATTTTGCCTCCTAACCCACCATCTGGAACTACTCAGAACCCGTTTCTGTGGGCGGCTCTTCCCCTGAGTACAGCACAGTTCAGTATGTCACGGTGCATGCGGTAACTCTGGTGGAAAATCAGGCCTTGTAGAAAATACACGATGGCAACTCTAGATTGTGTTATGTTCTTCTGAGGATCATTACATTTTGGGTTGAGCAGGAGATCACCCTTGTGCTGTACGACAGCCCAGATCCATTGTTCTATGGCTTCGTATCCTGGCATTTCCCCCGGCTCCTTGGGGGTTCACCTGTTTCTATGTCATTTGGTGGCTAGCTGAGTATTCAGCAGTGAGAGAAGTCAGTCTCAGATTTTCTTGTTTCTAAGTTGTGCCCCGCCCCCTGCTTTTTGATAGTTTTGACCTCTATCTTTGATATTTTAAGCCTAGAAGATTTAATTTTTTAGAGTCGGGAGACAGCTCAGTTGATAAAGTATCCGCCATGCATACGCGACTCTCAGTCTCCAGAACCCTCATACAAGCTGGGTGAGGGCATAAACCTCTGTAACCCTAATAAAGAGAGTGATGAATGGTGGTGGGGTAGAGACATGAGACTCTCCAGAGTTCATTGGCTAGCCAGTCTATCCAATCAATGAGTGCCAGGTTCAATGAGAGCCTTTGTTTCCAAAGATAATGTGAAGATGGTTCAGTGTGTAAAGGTGCCTGCTGCCAAGCCTGACATCTTGAGTTTGATCCCGGGACTCCCACAAGTTATTTCCTGACCTCTACACATGTGCTGTGGTCACCTGGTCAAACGCACACACACACACACACACACACACACACACACACACACACATATAAATAAATAAATGTATATTTCTTTTTGTGGTTTTTTGAGACAGTGTTTCTCTGTGTAGTCCTGGCTGTCCTGGAATTTGCTCTGTAGACCAGGTTGGCCTGAAATTTGCAGAGATTCACCAGTGTGTGCCTCCCAAGTGCTGGGATTAAAGGCATGCGCCACCAAAGCCCGGCTTAAATGTACTTTTCTTAAAGGTGGAGAGCGATAGAGAAAGATATCCAGTGTCACCCTCTGCGCTCTCTCTCTCTCTCTCTCTCTCTCTCTCTCTCTCTCTCTCTCTCACACACACACACACACACACACACACACACACACACACAAATTAACAATAATACAAGTAAATGCACGGTGATTTGTGTCCCCCCTCCCCCCAGATAGGGTTTCTCTGTAGCTTTGGGACCTGTCCCAGAATTTACTCTGTAGACCAGGCTGGCCTTGAACTCACAGAGATCTGCCTGCCTCTGCCTCCCTAGTGCTCGGATTAAAGGCATGTGCCACCACCATCTAGTAATAGATATGTTTTTTTAAAGATTCCATTGTTTTGCCACAAGACTTGCTCACAGATGGAATCTATACTTGGCTTAGATGAAGACTGGTCCACTATCCAGGATCAGATTTCTTCTTGGCCTCTGTCCATTTTCCCACTAAGTCCTTTAGGGTCTCCACCCCATCTGCATGGCTTAGCTTCTGATGAGGGATCTGAGTAGTTTATGCTCACATTTGTAATTCTTCCATGGTTTTGCTGCTGCCCGTGTTTTCCCTGCAGGTTCCGTCTGCATTTTCAGCCTTGACCTCTGCTCCCTGGCTCTGTCAGTGGCTGAGACAATGACTTCCCTCCTCTGTCCACACCGTGTCTGTGAGCATTGGGCATTGCTCGCAGGCCAGGAAGATAGCAACTCAAAAGTCTTACTACTTACTCTGGTGGCTTTGAGATTAATTTTTTTGCCCTTGCTTCTGATTGGTTTTAGATTCTCTCCAAGTTCTTCATAGTCTTTATTGTTGTTATTATGTTTTTATTTTTTAGTTATCCTGTATTTTATAGTTATATCTTTCATGATCATTTGAGTTGCCCGTCATTTCTGAAAATTCTGCCCATTAGACTCAGAAGTCCATTGTTTCTGTTTTTTCCATTGAAGCCCGAGTTAGTTCCTTTCTGAGTTAAATCTGTTTTGTTTTGTGATGACCTCTGTGTTCTTCAAAATTAAGTCTTTTTATGAAAAATGTGTTTGATCACTGTAAAGATATTGAGCATGGTGCAGTAGCTCACACCTGTAATCCTTTCACTTGGGTGGCTGAGGAAGAACAATCAGGAGTTCAAGGGCAGCCTGAGCTATGGTCAGTTTGTAATAGAACATGAGATGATACTTCAAAGATAAAAAGGAAGGAAGGAAGGAAGGAAGGGAGGGAGGGATGGGGTAGAAAGAGACAAGGAGACAGAACAACGGATAGGATTTATGTGTATCTGGGTAGTTCAGCTCCTGAAGTTCTTGTGTGTTAGTGGTGCCATTTTCCCACGATCATCTCTTTCTTTTCTAAGTAGTTTTGGGTTGTGAGCTACCGATTAGATGTGCAGTAAACATGGAGCCCTGATTTGAGCCTGCAGAGTTTTCCGTCTGCCTTTGCTCAGTGTTCTTCAAAGGTCACAGGCCAATTTTTGTGTTTGTCTCTCAGGCTGAGAGTCCTGCATCAGGCAGATCATATACACATGTGTCCCCAGTCTTCTTGAGGACAAGATAGTGATCATAGCCCCAAGGAGAGCTTTTTCCTCCTGATGCCTGCAGAGATGCCTTAAGTCTAGGCTGATAGTGTATTTCTCTAGCCCTTCCCATCACCGACTATAGTATAGCTCTTTAAGATTTTGTCACAGTGTTCTAAATGGCAGGAAAAAAGGCAGGTCTTCGGAGTCTTTGTCATAGAGGCACAAATCTTATCGATGAGGACAATGCCCTCATAGCCCAGTCACCCTTCAACACTGTAGCATTGGTGAGGAGGCTTCAGCATAGTGCTTTGGACGGCACATAGCAGATAAGTGACTGCAGCTGTTCATCTCTTCAGACACAGTTCCAAGTTAATCCTCTGGGAAGCTTTCTCTCGCTCCCCTGGACAGAACTCTTCCTCCTACCTGTGTTCCTGTAGCATCCTGCACACATTTCTGTCAGCATCTTCACGCTACATTCTAATGACACGTGTGTATATCACACTCTCCAGCAGTGTGAACCCCTCAATAGTGTTTTCTGTTTGATTCTTCAGGGTCTGTTAATATCCTTCTTCCATAGCAGGGACTGTTGTATTGTTTGATTGTCAAGCAGGCTGGTCTCCATCCTGTTACTGAATGGATCAAGATCAATTCTTAGTGGTCATGATAAAGAATCTGCCATATTTTTACAGGAATCAGAAATACTCTCCACTCAATCCTTAGCAGATTGTTTTGCTGTCCCTGGGGCTCACCATGTGACCTAGAGACTTTCAGGGGATACTTTCTTCAGTGTATTCCAAGCTGTTGTGTTTTTCTCCTCCAGTCTGTGAGAAAGGCTTGCGGTTCTCTGTTTTCTTACCCAGATAAAGATGTCTCCGTCCATTCAGTTCCTTGCCCAACTCTGGAGCTAGTGCCATCTCTGAAGAGATTCCCAGCTGCCTCTTCTCTTCTTTCTTGCAAAGAATGTGGGTTTCGATGTGTGACTATTTTCAAACTGCTTTGTTTCTTTTTGGATTGGTTAATAATAAAGCTCCCCAAACTTGAACAGAAGCACCCAGTGCAGACTATCTGGAGTAAGAAGCCAATTCCGCCATGTTTTCACTTCCACTTCTTCCTGTTCCAGCTGTCACTCATGGCCGTGGGGAAAACTTTGTCTCCGTTTTGTGTGAAAGGGGATTTGTTATGAACCAAAAGCATTTTCCTGTACTCCACCTGCTGGATATAATGAACAAAAGCCTCAGTAGAAGATCTAAATATTTAGCAAATGTAACCTCAGCCTCTAAACTTTCAAGCCTGGAATACATTTCACAGACTCTTGGATTTGAACCCAGGCCAGATACATGCATACGGATACTGATTATTTGTGTTCTTTGGCAGCCAGTCTAGAGATGTGTTACAGTTCAGCTGTACGCACAGTTCTTTACAGATGTTGCTAGTGGAGCTCCCTCTGCCTCAACTTTCTTCTCTCTATCTCTCCCTGGACAGTCTCGTTCATGCCATGCTCCCCACCCCTGCCTGGTTTTGACACTCGAGTCTCACTGTTAGTGTGTTCTCTCTGCCACAGGGACTTGGCCTGGCTGCTGCCTCTGTCTGGAATGTGCTTTACAGGCCTTGCTCATACTTCTTCATCTGGGTCAGTTTCTGCTCTGCCTTCGATGTCAGCCTACTTCCTCAAGACATCTCTTGAGTAAGTTAAGACCCACTGTTTTATGGCCCGAGAATGTTGGATATATTTCTCTGTGTGAGCTTTTGTACAGAGTTCATCCTGAAGCAGACTGTCTATATGGGACACATGATACACAGATGTTCATTTTATTGTTAGCTATATATTTATTTTAATGTGTACTTTTATTTCATATTTTAAAATATGAACTCATCACTTTCCCCCTCCCTTTCTGTTTTCCTGCTCCTCCCAGGTATCCTTTCTTCAACCCCTCCCATCCTTCTCAAATTGATAGCCTCTCTTTCTTTGATTGCTGCATACATATGTATATATAGCCACAAATATATATATGTATATGCACAAATATATATGTATACACACATATATGTGTATGTTCTGAATTACTTTTTGTTGGTGGTGTATATATGATTTCAAGGCTGACCACACTGCATTGGACAACCAACAAGGGGACTCTTTCCTGGGAGTGGCTTCTCTCAGCAGTCTGTAGACCCCTGCTGTTCTTTGTCTAAAAGGGTAGGACCCTGTGAAAATTTCCCCTTCCTCATTAGCATGTCTGTTGATATTGCCACTTTTGCAGTCTTGTTTATGCATCGTTTCTAAGAGCGGCTGTTTCACCGCAGACTTCCTGCTCTTCTGGCTCTTACACTCTTTCTGCCTCCTCTGCCTTGATGTTCCTGGAACCTCCAATGCAGAGCTGTGATGTAGATGTATCTCTTGGGGATGGATTCCCCATGATCTTGGCATTGTGTCCAGCTATGGTTTTCAGGTTGCTGGAAGGAGAGGCCTCTTTGATGAGGCTTGGTAGCTACAGTCACCTAGGAAAGGTGACTCACAAAGAGAGCTTAAGGGCTATGGGTCTTTTAATGGATGCTTTTAAAAATGTGCACAGTCTACTGGCAATTAATAACCCTTTGTGAACATTGTAGGCTATCGGACAATGGCCCTGCAGTAGATACAACTGAATCTATCTTAAATAATAAATTTATAATAAATAGATAAATTGCCTGAGTTAGAGGTCCCACCCTCAGATAAAGGGCTAATGTGGCAAACAAGCCTTTGAGAAGCAGTATGAAAATGGCCAAGATTTGGAGAATGATGTAATTACAATAAGCTCTAGCAAAGAACTTTCTGGTGTACCACTGTCATCTCTAGGCTTGATATATAATTAAGAGTTATTAAGAAGTATGGTATTGACTCCAGGCAGTGGTAGCACACGCCTTTAATCCCAGCATTGGGAGGCAGAGGCAGGTGGATCTCTGTGAGTTTGAGGCCAGCCTGGTCTACAGAGTGAGTTCCAGGACAACCAAGGCTACACAGAGAAACCCTGTCTAGAAAAACAAACAACAAACCAACCAACAGAATATAAAAAACTAAAAAAAAAAAATGAAGTATATTGTATGTCTATAATCCCAGCACTTGAGAGGTAGAGAAGAAGGGAGTGTCAAGTCTAGTTCGGACCACACAACAAGACCCTGTCTTGAAATAAATGTTGAAAGGCTGCACAAGTGATTAAGTGACCAACTTAACCAGTGTGCCCCTCCTGGGATGATGTCAAGCCAGTGACAGGCCAGGGAGTGGGAAGGCTGAGGTTTTTTTTGTGGCTCCCCTCTATGGACTACACATATCAGAGACAGGATGGAACCTTGTAAGCAGAGCTTGTACCTTCAGATGCCAACCGTGTCAGAGTCACAGGGCTATGGGTACTTACTCATAAGTGGCTCTTAGACATAAACCAGAAAAGAAAAAACAGCCTACAATCACAACTCCAGAGAACCTAGACAACAAAGAGGACCCTAAGAGAGGCATACATGGATCTAATCTACATGGGAAGTAGAGAAAGAGAAGATCTCTTGAGTAAATTGAGAACATGTGGATCATGGGAGAGGGTAGAAAGGAAGAAGGGAAGAAGGGAGGGAAACGGAAAAAAATATATAATTTAATAAAAACAATAAAAAATCCATTCAAAATATATGAGGAGTCATATGGTCAGAACAAAAATGAAAACAAACAAACAAACAAAACAGCACCCTTGGATTCAGTGTACCATGGATTAAGTACAGTGACTTTCCCAAAGTTACAAAGTCAGTTAAGAGAAGAACCAGATTTCATGTCTGGTAGTCAGTTTCCAAAAAAGTCTTCTTCAATCTATTTTGATCTAGGCTGATTTAAAATTTTTAGATTGGTTTATATTTTGTTGCTGTGTAACGAGTGTTTCTCCTGCATGCGTCTTAGTCCCTTTTTGTTCATTGTCTAAGACACTGACTGTGACCACAGCAACTCACAGAGGGAAGGTTTATCTGGGGCTTATGGTTCCGGGGGGACAGGAGTCTGTGACCAGTGTCTTAGTCAGGGTTTCTATGTCTGTGAAGAGACACCACGACCACAGCAACTCTTACAAAGGAAAGCATTTCATTGAGGTGGCTTGCTTACAGTTCAGACACTCAGTTCATTATTGCCATGGCAGGGAGCATGGTGGTGTGCAGGCAGACTTGGTGCAGGCTACATCTTGGTCAGAAAGTAACAGGAGGGGCTGGAGAGATGGCTCAGTGGTTAAGAGCATTGCCTGTTCTTCCAAAGGTCCTGAGTTCAATTCCCAACAACCACATGGTGGCTCACAACCATCTGTAAAGAGGTCTGGTGCCCTCTTCTGGCCTTCAGGCATACAGACAGAATATTGTATACATAATAAATAAATAATTTTTTTTTTAAAAAAGAAAGAAAGTAACAGGAAATGGACTGTCTATAACACTGAGTGAAGCCTGAGCAAAAGAGATCTCAAAGCCTGCCCAAACGGGGACCACTTCCTTTAACAAGGTCACACCCACTTTAACAAGGTCGCACCTCCTAATAGTGCCACTCCCTTTGGGATTATGGGGGCCAATTACATTGAAACGACCATAATAGTCAAACATATAAACTTATGGTGCCGTTCTCAAACCACCATAGTATATCATTGGATTTGCGGGAACTGGAGTTACAGACAGTTGTTAGCTACCATGTGGGCGCTGAGAATCAAACCTGGATCTTCTGCAAAAGTAACAAGTGCTCTTAACAGCTGAACCATCTTTGCAGCCCCAAGCTTATTTAAATTAGGTGATAACTAACCCCATGAAGAAGTTCTTCTGAGATGATTAGAGAATTAGTAGCTTTTGTTATTTTGATTATTTTTGAAACATGGTCTTACTATGTAATCTTGAGCTCATAATTTTCCTGCCTCAGCACCCACCAAGTGCTGGGACTATGGGTGTGTACCATTGTGCCCACCTGCCAGTAACATTCTTTAATTTGAAGGAATCTAAAAATATCAACACTTTGATAAAGATTTTCTCCAGCACCATGTTTTCTCGGAGGAAGGGTCATACCTTTTTTTTAATCTTCAAACTCTGTAGGTCTGGCACAGTGTAGGAGCTATGATTATCCATGATTATGCCTTGTCTGTTTGTGACCTGTCTGCTCCCAATCCCCACTCTGTTTCTGCTTTGGGACACTGGAGCAGGACTGCAAACGTTTCTCCTCCACCAGTGTTGTGAGGGTTGCCAGTAGAGGGCGCTGGAGGGACGCTGTTGGAGAAGGGCTTTTGTTGTGGCTCCTGGGGCTTCCCCTATTGCTGGGGCACTATCTATGGAGACCTGGTGGCGCACAGTCTCTGTTACTACTGTCTAGAAAGTTGCATCTGCAGAGCTTCACCAGCATTCCGATCGGAAGCTTCCTAAAGCGTCATCCAGTGGGCTACAGACGCATGCTCCCAGTACAGCCCGCATCTCTTCATTGAGGGGGCACCAGTTTCAAGTTTATTGCTTCCTCTCTTCAGCCCTGGGAATAGCAGCTGCTCCTTGCACCTGTCTTTGCAGTGATCCTTAGATCTCTAAGGATCTCTTTCCCTCCCTTAGCCATTAAGACCTCCCTGTTCGCATTATTGATGTGAATCCTGTCTCCTGCTTTAATGCTGACTCATAGACAGTAAATGATTAATAAATGGATGTGTTAGTGCACCATTAGGGGTAGATGCTTCTACTTCCTGTTCCTGCTTTTGAGGATGGCACCCCCAGAGGTCCAAGTGTCATGCACGTTGTCGAGCAATCTTAAACTCCGTCTCTCTTTGACTCAGTTAAATGTGGGGGACAGTCTGGTAGCGCCCATTTTCCTCTCGCTTGCCCTCCCTTCAGAGCCTTCCTGGAGCACCTGTGGTGTCAGAGAAAGCCTGGCCCATTCTAAAGCTGGCGCCATTGTCCAGCTCTCAATGCAGGTGTCCTGTTTTGAGAGTGACATAGAGTTTCCTGTTCATCTCCACGGGGTTTGCCAGATGCTTAGCTGGTGTCCCCAGACCCTCAGAGTCCTGACTTTCCACCTCACACAGAAGCTGGTCTGCATTTCCCTATGGCAGGAAAATGTAAAACGTGAAAACCAAAACGAAGTCCACTCCTGCGCACATTGCCTTTCTACACCCACATCCTCAAACACTTGGACCAAGTGAATGAGCTTCTTAAACTGAATGGAGTTCCCAGCAGGGAGGCCCCTACCCTTCGCTGAGGCTAGGGGAGGGTGAGGTTTTGCTTGTTTATGTCATAAAGCGGACACCGGCGTTTAGCTGCTGCTTCTGTAAATTTAGCCCGTGTGGTGCAATGGGGTAGGAGGAGGAAGTGATTTGGAAAATACCTCCTCCCCACATCACAGACATTCAAGCCCCATCAGAAGACCCCCAAATTAGGTCCTGTAATATGTGCTTGGGTGAAGCAAACCCCTGTCTGGCTTCGGGCAGTGTGTGACCTCATTTCCTGTTTTATTAACCAGGGTGTAAAGCTAACAGTTGAATATGTCATGGTCACGATGTCAGCTGCAAAGTGGAACCGATGTTTGGCGAGCTTCCAGCAGTCCTAGCATAGGACTAGCAAAGTTTGAGGGGATGTTAGTAGAGTCGGTGAGACGGCCTGATGTCACATCCCTGCGCCTCCAGCTCCGGCTGAAAGTTAGAGTGAGTTTTATGTGCAATGGCAAAAGGAAAT